GCCGCTCCACAGCATGTGGGATCTTCCCGGACCGGGGCACGAACCTGCGTCCCCCGCATCGGCATGCGGACTCTCAACCACTGCGCCACCAGGGAAGCCTTCCTTGGTCCTTTCTCAAGAGGCCCCACTCCCGAATCTCACCGCCACCTGGGGTGATGGCAGTGCCATTGGCTCAGCCCTTGGACTCTTTCTCTTTTTCTCTTTATCCCTGTAAGTGAAGTTATGGCTTTAAATTCTGTGTGCTGACTCTCCAAACCACTGTCTCCAGTCCGTTTTTCTGGACACAAGGCTAAGCAGACGACTACCTCATATACATCCACGCTTGGATGTCTAATAACTATCTCAAATTGAGCACATTCAAAATAGAACTACTGATCACCACGCCTCAAAAAGCATTATCATTCATCAGTATTCCCCATTTCAGTAAAGGAGGCACCCTGCCCTGGAGGCCCAGGCCTGACCCCCATTTCTTTCTACCTAGTCTACATTTAAATCCCATCACTACCCTCCGCCTCCACTGCTCCTGCTCTGAACTACTGCAAGAGCCTAAGAAGGGATCCCCCTATTGCTGCTCTAGATCCCAATCAACTCTCCCCACATTTTGGCGCACGTCACTATGAACTGCCCACGCCCTACCCCACCCCACACTTCCTTGTTCCTGCTCACACTGGCCCCTTGAAGTTCTCCTGGCTTTACAAGCTCATTTTTGCTGCATGACTTACCTTCCCTGATCATTATATCTAAACCTGACCCCTGGTCCAAGGCACTCCCACATAGGTAATACTCTGAAGGAAGCAATACCACAAATAAGCATGTAAGGTAGTGTTCAGCTTCACAGCTGTGGTGGAATTACTGGTCTGGATGCTTCACTTTACTGCAGTAGTGGCCTCCAGCCAAGATGACATCATGGTGAGTAGCATGGACTTTCTGTCCCTTGACTTTGGGCTTGGTAGGTGACTTGTTTTGAAACTCCTGTGGCTGTGATGTGAGCAGAAGCTTGTTCTCATGTGTTTCTGCCATCACCAGCAGTAGAATGTATGCAGATTGCCCATTGGTCCCAGGATAATTAGAGACCCAGGGAGCAGACCTGAGCACACCCTATTGGCTGAGGTCCAGCCACCCCAGGGTGCATGAATGTGGAACAAAGTCTTATATGCCGTGGAGACTTTGTGGCTGTTTGTTACACAGTATTCTGGGAATAGCCAACCAATTTACAATGTTGTGTTAGTTTCAGGTGTACAGCAAAGTGAATCAGTTATACATATACATATATCCACTCTTTTTTAGATTTTTTTCCCATATAGGCCATTACAGAGTATTGAGTAGAGTTCACTGTGCTATACAGTAGGTCCTTATTAGTTATCTGTTTTATATATAGTAATGTGTATATGTCAAACCCAATCTCCCAATTTATCTTTCCCTCCTCTTACCCCCGAGTAATCATTACTTTGTTTTCTACATCTGTGACTCTATTTCTGTTTTTTTTTAATTAATTAATTATTGGCTGTGTTGGTTCTTCCTTGCTGCGTGTGGGCTTTTCTCTAGTTGCAGTGAGCAGGGGCTACTCGGTGCGCGGACTTCTCACCGCGGTGGCCTCTCTTGTTGCAGAGCACGGACTCCAGGCGCACAGACTTCAGCAGTTCAGGCACATGGGCTCAGTAGTTGTGGCTCACGGGCTTTGTTGCCCCGTGGCATGTGGGATCTTCCCGGACCAGGGCTTGAACCCTGGCAATGATATATAGAGATAGAGACTATGAAATATGCATTTGGTAAGGGCTCAGGAAACAGGAATGTTAATTTGCTGCTGGTAAGAGGGTAAATTGGTAGCAACCTGTTTGGAAGTCTTATTTGGCTATAAGTATTAAAATTATTACATTAGCTCAATACTTCTATTACTAAAAATTTATTCTAAGAAACAAGGACATGCACAGAGAATTATTGACAAGGATATTCACTAAAATATTATTTCACAGTGTAGTAAAATGTAAATGTTAGTAGAGGACATTGTTGTTTTATAATTCCCAAATGATAGACACTAGAGCCCTTCTAATACAGGCATCAGTTATGAGGAATGCTTAGCAATGTGCCAGGCAAATAGCTCTCTGAGCAAGGACTGGGACCCACTTCCATCCCATTGCCCAGACTTTACCCTCAGGGCTAACAACATGGAGTGAAGCTCACCCATGGCTGTCTGCTCGCCCGCCCTGCTCCTGGGGGAGCAGAAATTCTGCCTTGAAGAACTGGAGGCAAAAACTGAGACAGGTCCTGCAGCAGGGAGGGGCCCAAGGAGGCTCTGGCAGGAGCGTAGCGCTGCGGGGGAAGGGTACGCCATTGTTCTAGGGAAGCTACAGAAACGTACCATAATGACTTCACGAGCCTACTCCGGAATGGTCAAGTGGCCCTTGACGAAGCTCTTACCTATGATCTCATTTGATCTTCAGGTCAGGGCTGAGATGGACAGCGGTCACCAAAGCTCAAAGGACGAGCTTCCCCGAGGTCTCCGAGTGAAAATGAGAGCTAACACCATGGGCACTCACGAAGCTGTGCTCTTCTAAGTTCTTTGAACATATTAATTCATTTAAGGTTCATAACAAGCCGAGGGAGGAGGCTCTCTCATCATTATTCTATAGATAGGAAGCAGAGAAACGCAGCGAGGCCACAGCCAGCTTGTGGCAGAGCTGGGGCGTGAACTCAGGGGTCCTCACTCAGGGTCCACACACTCGGCCTGGATCCCAGCAGGCTCCTAGGTCCACCTCACTGGTTTTTGGCTCTCAAACGTCTTCTCTGCCTCACTGCCTGGCCCTGGGAAAAGGGCAGGCTGAGGGCCAGGAGTAAGTGAATTGTCCTGGCTGGCCACAGTATGGACTGCTTCAAAACGTACGGTTTCTTCTTCTTTTTTATTTTATAAATTTATTTTTATTTTTGGCTGTGTTGAGTCTTCACTGCTGTGCGTGGGCTTTCTCTAGTTGCAGGAGCAGGGGCTACTCTTTGTTGTGGTGCGCGGGCTTCTCATTGTGGTGGCTTCTCTTGTTGCAGAGCACGGGCTCTAGGTGCACGGACTTCAGTAGTTGTGGCTCGTGGGCCCTAGAGCGCAGGCTCAGTAGTTGTGGCGCACGGGCTTAGTTGCTCCGCGGCATGTGGGATCTTCCTGGACCAGGGCTCGAACCCGTGTCCCCTGCATTGGCAGGTGGATTCTTAACCACTGTGCCACCAGGGAAGCCCATATGGTTTCTTCTTGATGACAAGACCCCCTTTTAGGCAGGACAGAAGCGGAGGAACGGGAGCGGCAGACCTCTCCCAGGCACGAGCCCGGCATCCGTTGTCTCACCGTGTGGGTGGGAGCTGGGAGGCAGGCACTGTAGGCTATCACTCTCTTTGTTTCCTTCCCTCCAGAGCACAGACACGCCACTGTGTACTGATGGAGTTCATCAGTCAGTGTGAGGGCGCGTTGCCGGAAGATGTGACTCTGTTCCCCCTCACCCTGAGGACAAGGCAGGGCCACCGCACGATACAACAACATGCCGATCTCCATGGATTCCTGAAACACAGGTCAGTGCCCCAGACACACAGTCGTGGTGATTTGCTTGCTTCTATTCTGAACTCAGATTCCTAGAAGCCCTCACTCGGTTCCGTGGGACAGTCTTACAGGTGATGTTAGCTGATGCTAAGAATCCTGTACCCATGAGTCTTTTTTGTAGTGTCATTTGCTGAATATGCAATCCAGTCCTTCCCACCCTGGCTTTGAGACGGTCCTTTGTTGGACATGCAACTTCTGGCTTTTAACTTAAAATGGTTCTTCAGGCAAGTGTGGCAGGAAAGCAGAAGCCATCTGCTGAAGACAAGACTGAATGGCCTGGTTAAATTATTACAGTAACCAGCAATATCAGGATAAAGAGAAGAAATAACCTTTCGTGACGTTTGATACAGAACTACTTCTCAGGGTTACCCCAGGGGCATGAGCACCGTGACATAGCCAGCCTTCCGACTCACCCTGTAAAGCACACAGACTCTAAATGTTTTTTTAATGTAACATTTTTTCATACTCTGCACATTCTGCATATACAAAATTAACCTCCTAAAGGTTGAACTTCATTTTTAGATTTTAGAGCTTTGCCTGCCCTGCCGGCTGGATAAGTAGGTCAGCAGGTCAGCTCTTCAATGTTGCATTAATAAAAAATGTGGAGCTAATTAAATGTAAAGGATAGCACCGTGCCTCTTATTCTTAGGGTCTCTTGCACGCGACTGCTGTGTCAGGTGACAGGTGAAGGAACAAAAACCTCTGGGGCATTTGTTTATTCAGGAAGCATCAAGATGGTGTGGTGTAAAGCCACGTTGACAGCATTGGTTTTTTCTGAGTTTAGTGTTTGATCATAAGAAAGACAATACCAAATAGGCTTGTCTGAAGAGACTGGCCCCTTGGCTGAGGCTGAATCCTAATTTCCTGGGAGTAAGACACAGGTACAAGGCCATGGACAGAGAGTGGACAGGGCATGTGAAGCCAGGCCTTTTAGGCTATGGCACGAAGGGAGTAAGACTAGGAAGAAAAGCAAGGAAGTCATTAAAACTGAAGATCAAAGTGAACACCTGGGTGGGTCAGGGGGATATGGCCACATCCGGTGCCAATGGTTTGCCCCCTTGAGTTACAGACTCAGGCTTAGGCACACACAGAAGATGTCTGAACATGATGGTGTGTCTACTTCATCCACTGAGACATAGTAGCACACTGGCCCTACTTCCTAGTGCTCTTTATGCCCTGCCTTTATAACCTCTCATACACATAATGTGATAGTTATTCTTTTTTTTTTGCTGTACGCGGACCTCTCACTGTTGTGGCCTCTCCCATTGTGGAGCACAGGCTCTGGACGTGCAGGCTCAGCGGCCATGGCTCATGGGTGCAGCCACTCCGCGGCATGTGGGATCTTCCCGGACCAGGGCACGAACCCGTGTCCCCTGCATCGGCAGGCAGACTCTCAACCACTGCGCCACCAGGGAAGCCCGACATTTATTCTTTTAAGGTGCAAAACATGTTTACATACAAAAACTTGAATCCCCACAAAATCTGTGCAAGCCTAAGACACAGCCCTGACACTCACAGCCCTGATTCTCCCTGACACAAATGTCCTACGCAAATCTGGTCTAGGAAAAACTCACCTTTAAGATGAGATGAGGAAAAGAATCTAGCAAAGGATCACTTTGGAGATCACTACATGAGAAAAGTCAAGGCAACACAAACGGTTGAGGAAGGACTGTTGCCACAAGGCCCATGAAAAGCACGACCAAACATCTTGTGTCAAGTGACACCAGATGATAGAGTCTCCTCTGCAAACAGGAGACACATGTGGAGACACAGAGATGAGGGGAAGAGGGCAGGACCTCAGAGATGAACCATGACCTGGCAGAGCTCAGGGATGGAAAAGCCCTGCTCGGAAGTGATTTCCTCTGGGAGCAGGCAGTGGAGAAAAGAGGAGGGAGTCTCTACAAAGAGCCTCTTTCTCACCCTACTCAGTGTCTGAGCCCTCTGGACTGATTCCCTTGCAGGAGTGCTCAGGAGTTTGCTCATACATCTCCAGTGGCTGGGAGGCCTGTTCTAGGACTGCTCTATGATGGAGAAGGCCTTCCTTAGGACAAGCTGTTCTCTCTCCAACCTTGACTCCCCACTAGCTGGTCCTAGATCTCTTCTTTTTAGGGCTTCATGAACCTCTGGGCTCCCTCTCATGGGTCTCCCACCCATGTTCCCAAGTCTAAGCTCCTTAAATCCCAAATCCTTGATCTCTCAGTTGCTACAGCCTTGATCCATAGGCTCATGGTCCCTGACCTCAGAGCCCTCTGCCTCCTGTCAAAAGTACCCTGGCCACCCCTTCTCCAGGACCCTTGAAACCCCACTTCTTTGTGTTCTGCCTCATTGCATCTGGACACCTGAGCATTGAATTAGAGATGGGGTGTGGGGACCTGGAAGTGATGCAGAAACAAGAGTTTAGTGTTGTATGTCATCACCATGGAAACACCTGGTCCTGTGATCTGGGTGCAGCTTCAGGGATGTGGGACCAGAGTCAGACCAGCAGGGGCGCCAGTCTTCACTCCACAAGTGTTTCTGAGTGGCTGTTCTGCTAGGCCTCTTCTCTCCCCTGATCTCCTCGGAGCATTGGGTCCTTGGGAAGCATCGGGTTCCTGGGGCTCATTGAGGAACTGGGGAGCTCCAGGATTGAGGGGCTGCTCCACTGCAGGCTCAATGTGTGGCGGACACAGAACAAGTATCAGATAAGGAGCCCATCACAGGGCACCCACAACTGACAAGGGCAGAATAAATGTCAGCTAAAGGAGACCATCAGGGGACCCTCAGAATTAAACACAGGAGTGACTGAGTTGAGGCTGTTCACTACTCATCAGAGAGGACCAGAGAGTGGAAAAGCAAGTCTTGGAATAGAAATGCAAGAGGACTGGGCGTACCGGAAGACCCACATGGCCTGAGAACTCAGCACCTCTGACTCTGGCTTAGAAGAGGCCTAAGGCTGCAAGCTGTGGCGAGGGCAGGGCTTTTAATGAAATAACATCTGTTAAGAAGGACTGGGCGACTTAAAGTCTGTACTGCCTGAGGAGCCATGGCCTGGGCCAGTTTCTTGATGTGCGCAGGCAGCCAGTGCTTACTACCATTTTTTTTTCTTTTTCGGTACACGGGCCTCTCACTGTTGTGGCCTCTCCCATTGCGGAGCACAGGCTCCGGATGCGCAGGCTCAGCAGCCATGGCTCACGGGCCCAGCCGCTCCGCAGCATGTGGGATCTTCCCAGACCGGGGCACGAACCCGTGTCCCCTGCATCGGCAGGCTCTCAACCACTGCGCCACCAGGGAAGCCCCATACTACCATTTTATTCTTGGAGCTCCACTCTCCTTAAGACATTGAGTGAATCAACAACGAACTGAGCCAAAGTTTAAAAATATACGTACAGAAATGCAACAAGTGCTGGGACTTCCCTGGTGGTCCAGTGGCTAAGGCTCTGTGCTCCCAATGCAGGGGGCCCAGTTTCGATCCCTGGTCAGGGAAGTAGATCCCACATGCCGCAACTAGAAGATACCGCCTGCCGCAACTAAGACCCAGCACAGCCAAATAAATAAATAAATATTAAAAAGAAAAGAAATGCAACAGGTGTTTTGAAAATGGCCAGATTGTGAAGAGAGGGCCAGAGCAACAGAGTTGCCTTTTTTTAAAAAAAATAAATTTATTTATTTATTTATTTTTGGCTGCATTGGGTCTTCGTTGCTGCGCGCGGGCTTTCTCTAGTTGCGGCGAGCAGGGGCTACTCTTTGTCGCGGTGCGCAGACTTCTCATTGTGGTGGCTTCTGTTTGTTACAGGGCACGGGCTCTAGGCGTGTGGGCTTCAGTAGTTGTGGCTCATGGGCTCTAGAGCTCAGGCTCAGTAGTTGTGGCGCACGGGCTTAGTTGCTCCAAAGCATGTGGAATCTTCCCAGACCAGGGCTCAAACCCATGTCCCCTGCATTGGCAGGCGGATTCATAACCACTGTGCCCCCAGGGAAGCCCCAGAGTTGCCTTTTTAAAAACCCACATGGCTGGCATCCAAAAGCCAACTCCTGGAAGGTATTCATAAAAATCTTTCCAGAAAAATCACATCTGAGTCAAGGAGGCTCTTTTGGCCCGCCTCCTGGAATTGGAGAAGTCCTTCACAACCTATCAGTGGTGTACCAAACTGGTTCTCTAGTTTCTGAATGTGCCGAGAATGGGCCTTTGCCTCAGCTAGGGAATCACCCACGAGGCCTCAAATAAAGTCAAGCCACGTGCAGAAGGCACAAGGCTGCACTCGCTGGGCCTGCAGAGGCGCACGGGGTAGGGGCAGCGGGAAGCACAGTGCTGGGATGTGCAGCAGCCAAGGCCTGAGATATGCAGAAAGGAAGAGGGAAATGAAAGGCACAAGAAAGTGCAGAGATAGAAAGGAACAAGCAAAAACCATCTGAGCAAGTAAAAACATACAAGGAGAGCAGTCAAGAACTGCAGGAAAAATGACAGAAAACCATGGACCCGCCTGGAACACACGTAGGCGTCCTTGGTACCCAAGAGCCCCTGAACGCCTCACTCCCGCCCCCTAGTGGCTGCAGGGTAAGCTCTGGTCAAGGACAAGACATAAGTGCCAACTCCAGGTGACTTTGCACAGAAGCACATCTTAAACTAAAGAGTTTCAAAGATCAAGCAGTTTAAAATCATTTCCAGGAAGACCTGGGAAGTGGGGTCTCAAGGCAACACCTCCTCTTTGTTTCATGGAATAGAATTTGGGCTCGAAGAGGGGCTTCCCCCAGGCCTCCACTTAGGGATTGAGAACTTTAGTGTAAATGTAATTATTTTCAAGCATTTTTTTCTAGAATTTATTGTGAAGTGAAAGTTTTATGAATCTCTGCCAGATATATCTTATGTTTAAGGTTCTTCCTATTTGTGTATCTGTGGCTTCGTGTGAAAGAACATTTTCAAAATTAAGGTTCATTAAAAAGTAAGAATAGGGCTTCCCTGGTGGCGCAGTGGTTGAGAGTTCGCCTGCCGATGCAGGGGACGCGAGTTCATGCCCCGGTCCAGGAAGATCCCACATGCCGCGGAGCGGCTGGGCCCGTGAGCCATTGCCGCTGAGCCTGCGCGTCCAGAGCCTGTGCTCCGCAACGGGAGAGGCCACAACAGTGAGAGGCCCGCATACCGCAAAAAAAAAAAAAAAAAAAACTAAGAATAGGGAATTCCCTGGAGGTCTAGTGGTCAGGACTCTGTGCTTCCACTGCAGGAGGCATGGGTTCAATCCCTGGTTGGGGAACTAAGATCCTGAAAGCTGCGTGGCAGGGCTAAATAAATAAATGGCTGTTGTTTTTTTAAAAAAAAGAATAATGCTTTTGTTTCTTGTTTATTTTTTAATTAAAGTATAGTTGATTTACAATGTTGTGTTAGTTTCTGGTGTACAGCAGAATGATTCAGTTATATATATATGTATTACTTCAATTAGTATGTATATATATGTATTCTTTTTCATGTTCTTTTCCATTATGGTTTATTACAGGGTATTGAATATAGTTCCCTGTGCTATACAGTAGGACTTTGTTGTTTATCTATTTTATACATAGTAGTTTGTATCTGCTAATCCCAAACTCCTAATTTATCCCTCCCCAACCCCTTTCCCCTTTTGTAACCTTAATGAGTTTGTTTTCTATGTCTGTGAGCTCGTTTCTGTTTTGTAAATAAGTTCATCTGTATCATACTTTATTTTATTTGGCCGCACCTGGCAGCTGTGGGATCTTATTTCCCCAACCAGGGATCAAACTCTTGCCCCCTGCAGTGGAAGCTCGGAGTCTCAACCGCTGGACCGCCAGGGAAGTCCCTCAGTAAACACTTTTAGTCAACACGCTGCCATAAACTTGTGGTGTCCTGTAGTAGAATTCAGTTAGCAATGTTCTCAGAGTGTGTGGGAAGAAAGGTGAGTGGAAGCTGATTCCATCAGGCTGAGTGGAGAAGCATGGGGCGGGGGTGGAGGGCTTGAGACCTGATCGCCCTCCCCAGGCAGCGGCCGGGGGTCACTTCCTCAGCCCTTCCCTCCGGCGCATGACCAGAAGCCTGCGGCGGCTGCCTAGACTCAGCCACCCAAGCCAGGTCCCATGTGCCACGGTGGTGCCCGATATCACCACCAGAGGGTGAGCAGGATTCAGCATTGTTTGGCCTTGCTCTCTGGACAACAGAACAAACAACCTGGCTTCTGTTTCAGGACACCAATCTGTTTAGCTGAGCTGATTGCCGTGCGGGTGAACCCCCATTTACTAGAGTTAGGTTTTCAAGAAAATTCCCTCTGCTCTTCAGGGTTATAATAAGGGGGTATTTCGTCCTGGTGTGACTTTGCAGTGTGTGTTTGTGAGGAGGGCATGTGCCCTCTCCCTGTACACCCCCCCCTCACCCCAGCTTCCCGACCCTGAGCCTCTCTGGCACTCCTGATAGTGTAAGTGCAAGACCTGCACACTGACAACCACGATGCTGCCAAGGGAAACCAGCAAGGACCTGAGCAAATGGAGAGAGAGTTCGTGTTCATGGGCTGGAAGATGCAATATGATTAAGACAGCAATTCTCTCCGAAGTATCTATAGAGTCACTGCAGTCTTTTAAAAAAATCCCAGAAGCTTTTTACAGAAATTGGCAAGCTTATCCCCGAGGGCAAAAACAGCCAAAAGAATTTTGAAAAAGAACAAAGTTGGAAGATTTATGTTTCCTGACTTCAAAACTTACTATAAAGCTTCAGTAAAAAAGAAACAAACAAAAAACAGTATGGTGCTGGCATATGGATAGGCATATATATCAGTGGCACAGACTAGAGAGTCTGTTGCAGCAAAAATAGAAATGAAGTTTTCCCTTCCTGAGAACAAGGAAAATAAAGGGAACAGGGAACAGGCTAGAGAAGAGACATAACCTGGCCTGAAAGAGTTAATCACCCCTAGTTTTTTTTTTTTAACTGTTACTAATCTGTAGTGTCTGTAAATAGATTTTACTTCACAAAACTAACCTATTACTCTTTAACACTATGTGAATTACATCCTGCACTCCCTTGTAACATTTGCATTTCAGAAAAAAGTTGCAGGCTGATAACCCAGAGACAAAGGGACCCAGTAACAGGGCTGCCTGACGCCAGCACTGACTGTTTTGAAATAATGCAGGAAGAAGAAGAATGCAGGACCTTCACTACTTTGATCCTTATCATATACCCTGGACTGCAAGCCCCACATATAAAATCTTCTCCCATTCCCGAAGGGGGGGTGGGCACAGTTCTTGAGGCGCTAGACTGCCGTCTTCCCTTCTGCCTGGCAGAAGAATAAAGCCATATCTCTCTTCCTCCAAAATCTCTGTCTCTGTATTTCTGTCCGGCATTGGTGCACAGGGAAGCCAATATTTCGGCAACAAGTCTAGAAATAAACCCTTACATTTATGGTTCATTGACTTTCAACAAAAATGTCAATGCAATTCAATGAGTGAAAGGATAGTCATTTCAGCAAATGGTGCTGGGACAAAGGAATTAATGGTTGCCTGGGAGTGGGGTAGGAATGGGGAAGGACTGCCCACCGGGTGATAGAAATGCCCTAAAACTGAATTGTGGTGATAGTTGCTCAACAGTACAAATTAACTAAAAATCATTGAATTTACACCTGAAATGGGTAAATTCTATGGGGGAGGGAGAGGTAGACACCTCAGCCTGGAAGCAGGTCAGGCACTGGTGTGCTGAGGTGGGAGGGTCTGTAGTGGACAGGCTGGATCTCTACCTTCTTCCCCACACCCTTGCTGAGCCTTTCGGAGCCTCTGCCCCTTCATTTTCGTAAACTAGGATAATGACACTTGCAGGCGGTTGGGGGGGGGTGGAAGGAAGGCACCGTGTAAGGCTCTTGCCATAGGGCCAGCTGTGCCCTCCCTGGTGGGGTCCCACTCAGCTCCCAGAGCTGGGGGCAGCAATCCCTGACTGGGAGCCTCCCACTCTGGCTTCAGAACACCCAGGAACCGAGAGGGTCTGGCCAGCACTGTCCTGAAGGAGTAGCATGCTGCCCCATGTACACTTTTCTAGTGGCTGCATTTAGAAAGTAAAAAGAAACAGGTGCAATTCATTTAAATAGTACATCTTATTTAACCTAATTCACCCTACATATTATCACTGACATATGATCATTTTATTAATTATCAATAATACATTTTACATTCTGTTTTTCTTACAAAGTCTTCCAAATGTGATGTGTATTTTTCACTCATAGCACGTTTCAGTTTGGACCAGCCACATTTCAAATGTCCAGATAGCCTCCGCTCATTTTTTGATTGGGTTGGTTTTTTTGTGGTTGTTGTTATTGAGTTGTATGAGCTGTTTGTATATTATGGAAGTTAAGCCCTTGTCGGTTGCATCATTTGCAAATATTTTCTCCCAAACAATTAGCACAGGTGCTAAGACCACTGGATACCCACATGCAAAAGAATGAAGTTGGATTCTTACCTCACCCCATATACAAAATTAACTCAAAATGGATCAAAGACCTACATATAAGAACCAAAATTACATAACTTGTATTGATAGAGGAAAACATGAGAGTAAACCTTCATGACCTTGGATTCAATGATTTCTTAGATCTGATACCAAAAGCACAAGCAAGAAAAGACAAAAGAGATGAATTGGACTTCCTTACAACGAAAAACTGTTGTGCGTAAAGGAGAAAGGGAAAAGATAATCCACCCTCCAAAATGGTAGGAGATGTTTGGCAATCACGTATCTGATAAAGATCTGTAGCCCACCAGCCAAGACTGAGGGAGACGTGCCCAACTCTGCAGGACACTTCATTGGGCTTAGAGGGTGACTAGGAAAGAAATCAGCCTGGCAGGTGCCCAAGGCCAGTGCGGACCCCAGGGCTGGGGAGGGAGAGGAGGAAGGGCTGAGAGTTGGCGTTAGAACGGATGGCCACTAGAGGGCGCCAGAGCACCAGCGGGTGTTGGCGGAACTCCACGGATGTAACCAGAGAGGAGGTGCTGGTTATCGGGCGGCTCTGACTCTCCCACCCAAACTGCCTCGTCTCACAGAGGGGCACAGAGGTCTGCCTTCAGCATTTGATGGGGGCACTTCTAGCCTGGTCGGGTGGCCTAGTGGTGGGACAGCCTAACAGGCTGTCTGCGGACTGACTGCCCTTTGTTTCCCCAGAGGCAGGACTCTGGACCCAGAAATACCTGGCTTGACTCATGGGATTGCAGCTGTCAAGCTGCAGGCCTGCGTGGGTGTTGGCATCTAGAAAACAAGGCTGGTGATCCTGAAATTGGAGCCTGTAAAAGCCCTGGTATTTTGGTGGGTGGACTGTGCTCATCCCTGTTTGCTTTCTTCCTTTGCAGAGTTCTCCCCTAACTTCCTTCTTCCCTTTTCATCTGAGCCTCTTCTGTCCCCACACCCCTGCCGGGTGGACCTTAGCAAATCTCAAGTATAATATCCCGTATAATTAACTGTTTCAGCAGGCTGTATATAGATCCCCAGAGCTTATTCATCCTGCATAACGTAATTTTTGTAATCGTGTCACCAACATCTCCTGTCTTCCCACGCAAGTTCCCGACAATCAAGATTCTGCTGTTTTGTGAGTTGGACTTTAGTAGATAACAGATGTAATTGAGATAAAAGTGTTTTCTTTTTGTGGTTGCTTTTTCCACTTAGCATAATGTCTTTCAGGTTCATTCATGTTTTCCCAAATGTAAGAGGTCCTTTTTTTTAAGGCTGAATAATATTCATTCTTATATATCACATTTTCTGTATCTATTTCTGCTAGACACCAGGGAAACAATAATAGGACGGCACCTCTAATTTCTAGATGCCTAAATTAACAAACAAAAACCTTTATCTACGCTATTAGAAAAAAGAGTAAAAGTAAATAGAAAACAATGAAAACTCTCTGAAGTTCTTTTTTTTTAAGTTTTAAAAAATATATTATTTTTTTAATATTTATTTATTTGGCTGAGCCGGGTTTTAGTTATGGCACGCAGGATCTTTAGTTGCGGCCTACAAACTCTTGGTTGCGGCATGTGGGATCTAGTTCCCTGACCATGGATCAAACCCGGGCCCCCTACGTTGGGAGCACAGAGTCTTAGCTACTGGACCACCAGGGAAGTCTCTCTCTGAAGTTCTAAGACACCCTTACTTTCTGTATTCCTCCAGCCATCTATAATCAGCTTCTATTTTGTGCAAACGTTTACAAAAAAATCAAGAGTAGGGAAACAGAAACAAAGTTGAGTCCCAGTATCTACATCCTCATGGTTGTTATGGGACTCCTAATGCCAAAATCCCAGGGTATTATGAAGATTAACTCCAATAATATCTATGAGGTTTCCAAAACAGTGCATTGTAACCTACTTGTAAACACATAACAGATGTGTTGTGTTCAGTAACACATGTTCAGTGATTGTTGCACTAATGACTATATATATGTTGTTTTCCAAATAGAGACATACTCAGATGTTACAGACTTTATTAGCCTTCTGTAAACTTTGACGTGCCAGCCAAACATGTGATCCTTCAAGATTGTGATGGTGGCCTTTAATGGTCTTTAATAGTTGTTTTGAGATAAAGTGGTTGATGTAAGGGGCTGAGGTGTGGTGTGCCTACTTTCTCTAGTGCTACTAATAACGGGTCTGGGGGAGCAGCATCGGCACAAGGAAGAAAGTTGTTAAAGATGCCAGTTCATGCCGTTCCAAACCTGCAGAATCGGAATTTCTTCCATGGGTGCTGGAATGCTTTGTATGCATATTAATGTTTGAGAGGCAAGATTTACATAAGTGCTTACAATAAAGATGACATGGCTAGTTTTTGTGTGTGTGTGTGTGTGTGTGTGTTACGCGGGCCTCTCACTGTTCTGGCCTTTCCCGTTGCGGAGCACAGGCTCCGGACTCGCAGGCTCAGCGGCCATGGCTCACGGGCCCAGCCGCTCCGCGGCATGTGGGATCTTCCCGGACCAGGGCACGAACCTGTGTCCCCTGCATCGGCAGGTGGACTCTCAACCACTGCGCCACCAGGGAAGCCCTACATGGCTCGTTTTAATAACTACTATCACCTATGACCTCCTCCTCAGATTCTGCCTGAGAGCACATTTTTTTTTTTTGGCTGTGCTGCACAGCATGTGGGATCTTCATTCCCTGACCAGGGGCCGAACCTGCGCCTCACGTATTGAAGGCTGATTCTTAACCACTGGACCACTAGGGAAGTCCCACATTTTAAAAAATATGAAATGTAGTTAACTTCAATATTTTATTTGATTCAAGTGTACAACATAGTTTCAGGTGAGCAACATAATTTATATAGATGACAAATAAATTTGCTTTAATTACGTTCTCCAGGCAATTCCAGGGAGAAACCAGGGTTATGCAACAGGTCTTGCAGGTATTTTTGTGGTGTGAGAGTTGAGTCCAGGCTTTGGTTCAAGGAAAGGTAATAATAGAGTCTGTGTGAGTGGGTCAGGTCAGTGCACCCCACATTCCCCATTCCTGTAGCACCAGTAGTAGCTGAGTGTGAGACAGAAGGGCCTATGGAAACAGGGAAGGAGAATATCACGTTTTGGTCTCCGTGTAGGAGCTCATTTTCTTCTGAATCTGTCATGTGACAAAGGATAGGGGAGCGTGGCCTTTCTGCATATGAAGGGCCTTCTGCCTCTGAGTGTGCAGGTAGCAGGTGAAAGTGCTGTGCTGATGTCTTCAAGGGTGTACAGGTGTGATTTCTCTACACAGTATCGCCTGCAAAAGGAACCTGGAAATGGAAGAGGAAGAGGAAGAAATGGCAGGTTCTCAGGTAAAATTTGTGATCCAGATCAGCAGCCGTGTCACCTTTTCTTGCTGAAACCCCATGTATTTAGAACTTGCAAACATTTACTTCTGTACCTCTGGTAGTCCTGCCTAAAAATTTTGTTTTCAATACTTTTCTTTTTTTCCTAATGATAGCCAAGGTTAGATCTCTAGGCTATTCCTCTCTTATATCCCATTGCCTTCTCTCCATTTTCTCCATCCAGGTTCCCTTTACAGCATAAAGAATTTCTACCATGAATTACTGATGTGCAAATGTTCCCTTTTTGTCATATCAACTTGAGGAGGTGTTGATATACAGGATTCTCACTGAATATGAGGTTGGGTCCTGGGATATAAGTGAAGACAGAAAATATGTAATATTTAGGTCCTGTCTGGATGCAGGATCAGTCTACATAGACAAGGATAATGAAAATGTACCAATTAAGCTGATTGCTGTAGGGCCTAGAATAACCCAGAGTTCTGAAAAATAGAGCTCTCAGTTGCCTCAAGGAAAGACTTCCTATTTAAAATACACAAGAGTACAGGACATGAGAGTTATACGTGGTTTTAAATGTGCTTAACACTGTTCTCATGATTAGATTAATGTTTTATGGTTTGCTTTTTTCTTTGCTTTTTTGCAAAACTGTTCCAGCAATGATGAGGCCTGTGTGCATGGGTCAGCTGATATCAATTTGTCCCATTACAGCTGATGGTAATTTTGTTCCCTTGATTCAGGGGCTATCTGCCAGATTCCTCGACTGAAAAGCTAATAATTTTCCAATTATTGTTAATAGGGGCTTGGAGGGATTTACTAAGAATGTGCATAAACCATCACAATTCATGTGAATACTACCTGTCTTCTTCATTTCCTTTACTTGTAGATTGCTTTGGAAAATGAAGGCTCTCACCTTTGTTCAGGTTTTGTTAGTAAGAGTTCTGTAAATGTTCTTTTTAATTCCATTGTCATTTCAGTTATTCTCTTGTTTATTACTTTTTGTATCTCCAGGAAAAGAAAACAAGAGTCCTATAGTATATGTTCAGGTATCTTAAAATGCTATATATAATCAGCACAAATGAGAAATGAAATAATTTCATGGAAATAGGGATTTGTTGATTCAAAGAAAATCTTCATGATATTTCATCTTGTCCTACTCATTTCTTGAGTTGATCTGCATCTTTCACTCTAGATCAGTGATAATTCTAGATATTTATAAAGTCAAATAAGATATTGTTGCTCACATCTTAAAATCAGATATCCATCCTTATTTTTTTTTTTTGGCCACACAGCACGGCTTGTGGAATCTTAGTTGCCCAACCAGGGATTGAACCTGTGCCCTTGGCAATGAAAGCACGGAGTCTTAACTAGGGAATTCCCTCCATTCCTTTTTTTTTTTTTTTTTTCCCCGGTATGCGGGCCTCTCACTGTTGTGGCCTCTCCCGTTGCGGAGCACAGGCTCCGGAAGCGCAGGCTCAGCGGCCACGGCTCACGGGCCCAGCCACTCCACAGCATGTGGGATCTTCCCGGACCGGGGCACGAACCCGTGTCCCCTGCATCGGCAGGTGGACTCTCAACCACTGTGCCACC